TAGTTCTATATACTTTGATCCTGATAATGATCTGATTCTTGTCTGATACATTCTTAACCCTATGATTCTATTTAGTCTGAATCCAGATCCTCTACCTTGATGTTGTTGAAGTCTATTTATCAAATCTAATTTCACTGTTTCGTAAAACGATTTCCTGTTCTCTCCTTTATGTAATGCCTTACTAGTCGTAGTCAAATGATCTAAACGAGCTTCCTCTGTTCCTTCTTTTTTCATTTCACATGATAAAGAGAAATATATTTTTACACTACTATCCTTATAAATGTCTTTAAAGACGTCACTTTCTTTTTTATCTAGAAATGACTGAATATTATTAGAATTTCCTGTGTGGATGGTATCCCTCAAAACATCGCCAACTTCTTTGTATTCACTAAAAACAGTTTTATCAAACGGAAACAATTTTCTCAGTTGATAATTCGATTCCCTATTGATAGCATCTTGGTTTTCTTGATTTTGTTGGTCAGATAATTTCTTAAGTTCTTTTAGGATATCTTCTTTTTTCATAGTTTTGATATCTTCGTTGCTAATTGATTTCTTAGAACGTAGAACAGCTCGTAGTTGATCCCTGGTTAGTTTACTGTAATCTTCTACTTCCATTTATTAGCTAAAAATACTCACGATTATTTTAATATACTTTTTAACTAATAAATGCACTCGATTCTCGAAATTTATGACCCTAAAAAGAGAAACGACATAGTTCAGAGCTATTTAAAAAACCGAAAAGAGCACAAAGTCAAAAACCTACAAGAGCGTTCAGACTTGGAACATATAGAAGATCATAGGATAGATGTGTTTAAACCAATTCTAGAATCAAATAAAAAGCTTCAAGAAGAAATAATTGATGAGAAAAACAAAATAGTTGAAACTCTGAATAACTTCAAACCTCTTTCTCAACCTTCAATAGGTACACCAGCAATAAAACAAAAGTCTTATTAAACAACCATCAGTGCATTTACCGAAAGAAATTTTGCCTAGTTCATCTTCCCCTCTTGTAGTTAGTAGTCTAATCGTTAGTTATCTTCAAGACAATTCCGATAGAAGTAATGCTGGCTATTCTGTTAAGTTTGACAAAGATGAAAAAAAGTATACTATCGGTAACAAAGATATTACGTTTACCCAGAACATGATCAAGATTAACAATGATGAGTACACTGCAACTGAAGGATTAATGGAGCTCTTAACTAAAAAGTCCCCCAACTTGAAGAAGATTGACGCAGAAGATACAAAAAATTACCAGACAATATTATTATGCTCTAATGGTTTGTATCAGGGGTTTGATAAAAGTAGCAAAAGGTATAATTCCGATTCAAGTGACAAGTGGGCGTTTATAAAAGCTAACTATTTTGTTGCAAAGACTTCTACAACAACATCAGGCAGTTCTATTTCATTCATTCCATCGAATACTAATTCTCTAATCGACTCCTTGAGACTATCCATTGCTTCATTTCAGGCTGGTAACAATGGGGAATATAATAAGATCAATGCCATTCTAGATGAACTAGTGAAACAGAAAAAGATTAAAAAGAAAGACTTGGGAGTAATTTACTTGAATATTGGATTGTAGAATTCAGTAGTAGATTTGATTTAGTGTTTTACAATCTTACATATACCAACACAAGCTTACATATTTATACAGTTTGTTACATAATCTTACACTTATTTTTTCTATACCAACACAATCTTACATATTTTTATGGTTTTTTACATACTCTTTTACTTATTTTTTCACACTATTTAAATGTCTCAAAAGGTTGTACTGGCTAGAATGTATATAAGTGACCAAGACAAGTCTCCTCTCAGAATTAACAAGAGAAAATGGGTTTTGCAACATAACTTTACTAGATCAACTTTATACGATGGATTAAAAGAGTTAGCAAAAGAGATGGATGTTAGTAAATACTGTTCAAATAAGAACAAGCCATCCCCTCAACTTCATGCAGAAGTTAAGCTAAAGATTGCCTGGTGAACATAAACTTTCGAATATTGAAAGAAACTCCAATAAAATAAATCTTTTAGCACCATTATATTTACCTAGCTTTAAGTCGGAAATTAGTTCAACACCTGTCTGTTGACTTTAGCAAAAAAATTTATTATTTTTATTTTTATAGTATGGTTTGCTATATAAATGAGTAACACAAGAACGTTGAATGATATTCAAACAACAAGTGATCATATAAGAAAGAAAAAGAAACCATTTAGTGGTGTGGGAAAATCAGTTAGGGGTAGTGAAACTGGAACTATAACTATAACTGAAGAAGATTTTAGAGATGTAGGACTAAAGCAGGCCATCAGTATCCTAGGAGGTGTTGAAAAATGTTTAGACATTGTCGAAGGTGTTTGTAATTATACTCCAGAGCATTTGAATAATATGAGTCAGGCATGTGCTTATTATGCTAACGAATTAATAAATATCGCTAACGAAATTAAATCTATAGAAAACTGTTCTCATAAAAATAATTTGAAGATCAAACTTTTTGCTACATATCAACAGCTTCTGCTGGAGTCTAATATAGATGAAAGACATAATAACCACGAATTGAAAAAACAAGTTCACCGTCTACAACAGTTAGATAATAAAAAACGAAAGTGTTGAAAACCGCGGAAAAGCTTTGCAAAAACTCATTGCAGAGGCAGAAAAACATGAAATCGAAGCGAAACAACGTCAAACTAGATCAAACCCTTCGGATTTTTTTCCCTGTTAAAAAGTTCACAGCTGGTCAGATGGAAAATATAATGACATGTGCAAGAGTACAAAAGGATATTCGAAAAAAACTGAAAGACAATATTAAACAAAAAATCTATGCTAAAACAATACGTGTAAAGCTACCAAGTAAGGAGGAACGCGTGGGGTTACGAATAGTAAAAAAATTAGATGGGCGTTCAACAGTTGATCTTGATACGTTCCAGTGTATCATTGAACATAAAGAGTTCCTAGGTTTCCGAATAAAGACGATAAATAAATACATTAAGAATTTAATGCACGTCTAAGTTGTTCTCTATCACAACCACCACCTAACTGAAAGTCGGGAATATCTCGATTTATTTTCGTTCGAGTCCTATCAGGAAAGTTTGAACTATTTGTTGGGAAGTCTCTAAGATTTTTACGATTTATTCTCATCTTTCTCCTATGTTCTTCCTCGCGTAATTTTTTATTATTAAGTTCATCTATTTTTCTAGTTTTATTAAATCTATTAGTTTTTCTAGTCATTTT